GGGGAGGTAGATCGATATAAAGAGAGGTAAAGATAGAGAGAGAGAGAGAGAGAGAGAGAGAGAGAGAGAGAGACCAAAAGAGAAATAAACAAACAGAGAGACAGACAGATATACATAATAACATTCCCCCTCAGACGTCGGGCAGTGGTGTTTATCTCTGGGTCATTATCCACTTTCCCTTCTCCGTCTTCCCCTGGCTCTGCATAGTCTCTTGTTGTCAGTGTTGTCAGCCTTAGAGCATGCTTGTCGACGAAGAAAGATGTACCAGTAGGATAAGGGGACAGGACATAGCTCGCTTTAGGGCGAGGACGTCTTCAGATTTCTTTGACAATTATAGGTTCCAGGCAGCCTGTAACAATATTAGCAAGATATTCAAGTGTTCAAAACCTAGAGAGCAACGTTTTCAGAAGACAGAAGAAAAAAAATACTATTGCTTTATTTTTTAAAAAGTGTACCTAAAATATATACACTATCTTTTTTGTTGTTGCTTTTAGCCAACATTAAGAATTTGATTTACCACGTACTAGAGGTGGGCAGAATCCGGATAAATATCCGAATAATCGGATAATCTTCAATAAGACATTATCCGAATTCAGACTCTTAACTCTCTTTCCTGGCCCGTTTGCCGAAGTAGGTGCACCCATTTGTTGAAGTGATACTAACCGTCTGTCAAAATGGTTCTAACCCACTTTCCGAATCGGTTCATAACATATTATTTGCCGAAGAGGTGCACTCACATATTATTGTCCGGATTTTGCTAAAGCGACTCAATGCCCAGCCCTACCACGTACTATTTCTTGAACACATGCAACCAATAACAGAGATTTAAAAACTGTTAGGCTTAGTTTATAGAAACAACTGGCTGACTATATGTGAGCGAGCAAAAGAAACGCGAAAAACTATTATTTACATTACGTAGTATATTTGATAACCCCAAAATGATATTTAAGTTAGATGAAATTTGTACCAAGCATACGGTTTCAGAAGAGCATACATTCATCATGTGATGATGACGACGACGCTGACGACGACGACCTTGAATGAAGTTTCGGAAAAAACCGCAAACAACGTAATTGAGATAAGATAAGCTATGACGTGTCATGCAAAGGAGGGGTTTAAACATTCAGGTATCGATTAAGACACACGTTCCTGAGTGTTTAACTAGCCGAGTGTTGTTTGCATGCGGTCTTAGCTAGAGTGATTCATCTTGGAGCTATGACACATGTCTTTGAAAACATTTCCTCTTCCTGGTAGGCTTAATATAGAGTCTGCAATCAGAAACATTGCTGTGGTCTTCAAGTCTTTGTCAGAATGTTAATACAGGGACCTGTTACTTTGTTTTGTGTTCTGACTTTGTACTTTCTGCGTTTGTCTTTCTTTTGTCCGTTTTCCTCTGTCTCTGTCTCTGTCTCTGTCTTTGTCTCTGTCTTTGTCTTTGTCTCTGTCTGTCTGTCTGTCTGTCTGTCTGTCTGTCTGTCTGTCTGTCTGTCTGTCT